GTTAAGATTTTAAAATGAAAGTGAAGTTGCGGCATAAGTAGGTAAAGGTGGGGGCGGGCGGAAGAATTTACAACTAGGAGTTTGATAAAGAATTTTCAGGATTATTTCACCTTACAGCGCCGATTTAAAATTTAAATAATTGAGGTAACTATTTTCTATAGTTTTACATTAATTGTATTTTTATGATAATATATATATATATGGTTTTAAAAAAAATATCTCCAATTTTTTTCTCCACTCCTTACTTTTCGGTTTTCACCGTGTCTTAGTTGGTGTAATTTTACACTGGTCTAGAGCAACGGTGGCACTTGGTCATAACAAGGAAATTTATAATTTGCTGGTGATCTAATATTTGAATTAGCTTAGCTGACTTAACTTGAGTCAAAAATCACTTTTGTCAGAATTTACTTAACTCACGCCCACTCCTTTCCCTCAACCCGCCCCGCCACTTACTGTAGCGATACCGTTTAACTGAGTGCATTACAACTGTGTTGGTGCTTCACCGCATTTTGCAATTGGCTGCAAAAGAATAAACCTGACTATTTTCTTTTTCCATCAATTCAGGTGTCAGTGTGAATATTTTTGCATTAGATTCTCTCTTTCTTCGGCAAACATTTTCGGTTCTTTTAGTTTTGGATAGGTCGAAATCTTTCTAAAAGATCTCTTTTTGTACATGCGTTGTTGTCCAAAAAATCACTCGACGCAGTTAGTGCGACTGACTGATTAAGATAGTGAATTAGTACTGATAGACGTATTAGTGCTTAAGGTATTTGATTGAGGAAGGTTATTATAATTTTCTTTGCTGTGTTAGATCCAGCATTTCTAAATGTGCTTGCCACAAAGTCTTCTGAAAAAGCAGCGCAATCCGGCCTGTTTAATTTACCGATAGTATTACTTATAGTAAACGCCCGAAAAAACCCTAACCTTGTCGTTTTTACTATGTTTCTATTAGTAATTACTTTTTTACGATGAGAAAGCATCTAATCGTCATATGGCACTGTCAAAGTCCGACCTTTGAGGGCCATAAGAATCGTGGTTGGCAATGAGTAGCAATATTCAATGGTCTGTTGGACATTTGGTATATTAAATGATATTTTTTAAAACAATAGAAAACAATCCTTTGGTCGTCCAGTCCGGTCTGTTGCTTAAAACCAGGCTGAATTCGGAGCCGTCAATTAGGTACGCCTCAAGATCTCTAACCCGTGAAAATAAATATTCAGTAGGAATGATTCCTCCTACTGCATTAATAATGACATCAATTTTTACTACTTCTCCTAGTTCACCAGAGGAAACCTGAGCAACTTGGTTTTTTTATCTTTTGTGGTTACAACTTCACTTCACGGGTCTCATAACTCTTGTTACCTGTCTCATTTAGATTGTATATCTGATTAGGTCTAAACTTTTATTTTTCAATTAAAAAGCATAGTTTTCAAAAATTCCACCATCCTTTGCTTATTAAAAGCAGTACTTCTAATGTGATCACTCAATAACTATAATTTCACCGTGTTAATTTCACCAGCTGATAGTTTCGAAAACTAGTATTATAGTATACATATATATTATAGGAAGGCCGATGAACTAAGAAGGAGTGTGGTAATTTATTTAACAATCTTTAATTCTCCTAAAAGCTTTGCCACTTCAAACTAAGAGCGAGTAAGTACAATGTAAAAGAAAAATCTGGCTAACGATTGGCAACTCGCTTATAAATATTAAAACCCTCGGGTGAATAACCCTCACGTTACATACGAGTGAAAATTACAAATAAATTACAAGAAAATCTTACCAGCCATTTTGTTTACATCCCCAGTAGAAGGGTATTTAAATATGGGTAATGCTTTACAAATTCATATCCTACATAAAAACTTGTTTATATAGCGATGAGATTTCTTTAAATAATTGGTGAGTTCGGCTTCCTTTTGTTTTAAAAACACTTGCTTAACTGCATATAAATTTTAGAAATATTATCCCTGTATCTTTCATTACTGCACCAGAATCTGAGTCTACATAGCTTTTTTTCGGATTAAGTTTAGTTATTTATAATAATGTACTTTGTAAAGTATTGAGAATTAATTCATTTTTTCCCTATCCTCTTCTCAGTAATGCATTCTTTTTTTAAGTATTCTTTTATTGCTGGTTTCATCATTTGTTCGTTTCCTCAACTATTTGTTTTCCGAACGTATTTGTTAAGCATCTAAAGGATAAATTTAAACTTTAAACAAAATTATTAAAAAGTAACAGGAGGTTGTTTCAACCATGGGTTTAACCTCCCTCCCAACAGTTGGCTGTAAGTTTCCCCCCACTCCGCAAGCTTAAAACAAAGAAAATGTAGCTGTTTAGGTAGAGTGAATCATTGTTTTAAGAACTATTTTCTGTTAGCAAAAATAACAAGTATTACTTCACAGCAATAGCTTCACGCAAATACATTTCTCAAAAAAATTATGTTAAATGGGAGAACTTACCTTTACGGTATGAAAACTATAATCACACACAAAACTAATAAATGTGTTTATGGCGACTCTACGTCTAAGCACAACCAACAGTTCCTGCATTGAAACTCGGGTTATTTACTCGAACAGTGTTCATAAAAATATTACTAATTTAATCTATCTCATCTGAATTGTCCACCTCTCTTATACACGTGAGTAAAGTAAAAAGTAAAAATTATTAAGTGGACTAGTCATAAATAAAGGGCTTTTAAATAGTAGAGCCTAGTCCACGTATTACAACTGCTTGGCTTCGCGTATAAAGAAACCAACGCCTTTAGGATTTTTTTCACAGAATAATAACTCACTCATTTAAATTTTTAATTATATGTATATAATTCTTCAAGACATTAATGTGTTAAACAATAGCAACTATTAATTTTTTTTTTTAGACTAAGAGGTTATTTAAACAATGGGCTAACTGTTGATTATATGATCCAATTACAGTGCACAGTTAAAAAAAATTAAAAGTTAAGGACAGATTCCATACAACTAAGGTTATGCTCTTTGCATTTATATTAATTTTAACTGGTAGATTTAATCTATCAAGTTTATTTTAAAATTGTGTATAAAATATTCATCTTATTTCAACATTACAAGATTTCAATTCCTTGTTTTAGTGGCATCTTTTCAGAATGTACGACTGTAAAGAATTTTTAGCTTTATTATCGGAAGAGCAAGTTATATTGTTTTGGTCTATAGGGTCGAACAAAGTGTTGATAGTAACTGTCTACAGGAGAGTTTATTGGGAGCTTAACATCTAGAAGGTGTGTGTAGTACTAAAAAAACCTAAAAGCTTAGAAGGAAAATTTAAACACTAACCTTTTTTAAACGTACTTTTAAGAGTGAAATATTAATACTAACATACTTAATAGCAAATTAAGAACATTGACTAAGCTTAAAAGATGGAGAAACAAACAATAACCCGTAACTTTTCTTCGTCTTGCTATTGTAAAAGTGACATTATACTACCATAAAAGTTTTAAAAAGATGTAATTTATATTAATAATTACAACTTACGAAAATAGCGAATGAAAATAGTTAATTTATTAATGCCTATGCATATCTTTATTAAAATTGCCAATATATATTTAAAGTACAACAAAAACTTTTTTTCAAAAAAATCAAAAACATTGAAACTCCTATCGACCATATACATCTCCCAGCTATAACTAAATATACTCTGCGAGTCTTAAAAAATTTAACTAAGTTATAAGTTTACTTTGCTCACTGATAAGCAAACAATTGACAGCGCGTGGCAATAGGAAAACTTAAAGTTAAATTAATTTTACTAAATTTTAAGCTATATTTCCACTCTTCAATAAGATTATAAAATCGTTATTTCTTAAACTAAGACTGCATTTTCCCAGCATACCAAATATACCGAAAAGTTTAAAATAAGTTATAAAATCTTTTGTCAAGTTTCAATAAACTTTTTGAAGTATTTATCTAGTTGCAGACTCTCAGTCAAACAAACAGGTGTCATGAAATATAATTTATGGTGTATAAACTATTAAAAAGGTCTTGCTTCGAAGATTTAACTATATTTTACTAAATAAAAGCTGCGGATAGATCGATGTCAAGATAACTTCAATACTCTATATAAAGTATTAATATTTATTTTTAAGCTCTTACATAGCTTTTTTTATTCAATGCTAGTAGCTTCTTAAAAGTTAAAAAATTGAATTGACAATTATTATGTGCTGGCACATATCTTCAATAACAAACCGTCCCTTTAAAATATATTTAAATATAGCTGTTTGTTATCAATTAAATATAGCCAAGTAGGGGTGCCCACGTGACTTTCTTAAGGGTAATGTGAGCAAGCACAAAAACAGTTAAAATTTATTGTAATCAATTATTTATAAGAAATGATGTTCTGTATAGGACCAATAAAAAAAATTAATTTTCAGATATATTTATATTTATATTCGAGAAATATAAGCATCATAACTCGAACAATTCTTGAAGGGAAAAAGGTAAATAAACTTTCAAGTTCATCTGATCATTTCAGCTCAGTAGAGGAATTAGAGGGAAGGTATCAGTTGAAATGCTTATTTTAATTTATTTAATATTTTTATTAAGAAAGAGTCTTATAATACAAAATTATTTAAAGAATTCTTGGAGCTATAAACTGTTTTTAACTGTAATGTTATATCTTAGAAAAGACGGAAAGATTATAGATAATCTAAAAAACCGCTTAAACGAAACAATCAATGAAAAATCAGATAACTCCATCATAAGCAAATTTATGAATTTGGAAAACACTATTTTTCCAGATGAAACTTTAGAAAGTCGCCCAACTCAGAATTATTTTATAGAGTATGAAGAAGGAGATTACCTTTATACAAGAAAAGATATTAGGAAAACTTCTACTATAGATCTAAGTAAACTAGATGCTAGTAATTTTCAGAAAGCTAATTTTTTAGAGGTGTCTGATAGAAAAGTTGAGCTTTCAAATTTTACATCTTTTAAAGATTCTAGTCTACTTAAATTCACCAATATTTCAAATGGGATAGAAATTAAAAACGAGAATTGTTTTCCAGTTAAGGAGATAGACCAATTTGATTTAGGTGAGCTTGCTTTAATTAAATCTTGATGTTATTGAATTTAAGCTAAAAATCTAAAAAGTTGCAGATAATCAAGATAAGCAGACCAGCGCCAAAGATAATATTGAACTTTTGTCACCACCAGTTGTAAACCCTTCTAATGCTTTAAAATATAGTGGGCAACCTTTAAAAGATTTTGTAAGCTCTTCTTTTTCTGAAGACGTGAGTGGTAAAACTTAATTATTATATGACTGTTACTCGTAATTATAAATATTTATAAGAATAAGTTGATTTTACTTTAATTTTTGATAATATAAAAGTAGTAAGATATTATTAGCATTGTACTTATATTTTTTTCTAATTTCTTTTTTTGAAGTAATAACACAGATATTTAAGTATAACCTTATGTACCTTAGAAATCGTGTAGAATTTTATCTTACATTTAGGAAAACTTAGTTTGTCTTAGTTTATACGTTAAACCCTGTCACAAATTAATTTTTTTTTTAACTGTTTACAATAATATTTATATGGTTAATTTTATATTCGTTGAGAAAATTCTTGTTTATTTATTTTATTATTCCTTCTCTCTATTAATATATTATTTGATATATTTGGGTCGTCGTTTACGGTATACTAATGAGCATGTTTTCGTTTATTGAAAACTTATTGGTTTTTTAATTTTTATTTTTGTAGTTATTTTATAAACTATCAACTTAAATTTAGCCTAAATGATTAAGTCGGGTCATCTATTTGAATTAAAAATATTTAAATTTTAGTGGACTGATGGTTTATAATTACAGTAAAGTTTGAGATTTTTCTTTAGAGCGAAATAAATATTTTACAGTATTTTAGTAAACACCCTTTATATTTATATTAAAGAACTATTTCCTGAATTATTATATTAAGTTAATTGAGCTTTTTGAGGTTTTATGCCATTTTCTTTATGGAAATTTTTGGTTATAATAAATTTTTACTTGTATTCCGTTTTTTTATAGCTTCTAATCTTTGAATCATTATATTTTTATATAGAAAACTGGATTCAACTAAAGAAACCAACTTCGCTTGCTGTATATACTATCTTTTTTTTTTTACTATTTTATCGTTTCATGTATTTATAAATAAAAAAGGTTAAAAAAATTATATAGTGAAATATTTTTTTTAATTAAAAAAAGATGAAATTAATTTATCTATATATATGTTGCTAAGTATTAATTATATTACTTTTTTAGCTTTTTTTTTTACCACTTTTTATTTGGAAATATTTCTTTTTGTTTTTTTGACGAATAGTAGTTTAAATAACAAATTATTACACTATTAATTAATATCCAAAATTTATTAATAAAAAACAATACTATTCATCTTTCTCTTTATTGTCTTAACTAAAATAAACTTATTACAAATATTTTTCTTTTTTTACTTCCAACTTTACTTTTGTATAAAAACTTCTACAAGGAGTGGAACGGGCATTTCGAATGGCTTTCGAGCACTCTTGCTGATTGTCCTTCTGATTCAGAAGTAGTACGTGCCGTTATTATTGGCTCTCCTAATGCTGGAAAGTCGAGCCTTTTTAATTCGTTGCTGGGAGTTAAAGTAATATTTATTTTAATAATTGTTCATACATTTTTTTAGAGTTAGATTATTATTAAGTTTCCTAATAAAAATAAGGACGATATTAAAAATTAATAAAAAAGTGAACATAAAAATAATAAATATTAAAACAATTTGAAATATAATAAACTGAAATAGTAAACAAAAAATGATAAAACAATTATAAGATAAATTAAAATAAACTTGACAATATAATAAAAATAATTTTACCAGTTTTTAGTTAGTTTATTGCTGCTAGCAATATTATATGAATTGAAAATAGTATATCATAGCCAACGGCGCTTCCGCATTTGCTTTGGCTATAGTGTAGGTAACGAGCCAAGTGCTTATCTTGATATTGAGTGTTGCCCACTTTTTTTTTCCGGCTGTCGTCTTATTGTGACCTGATTTTGCTGCGGACTTTTATATGGCCGTTGGTAGCTAGGTTAGTTATGCATAAATTGGTCGTGGTTTTAAGCAATCAGAGAGTGAATAAAGCGGAAGCCTGTGCTATTAGCCCCTCGCATTAGGTGTTTTTTGACCTTCCCGGCATTAAACTTTGTTCCTTTCATATTATAAACGTTTAAAAATATCTATAACTTATTTAACTGGTTTATTCTGCGTGCCACTGGACAGTCCAGTACGGTTACACCACGAGTCGATACGACACTTTTTAATATTACTGCCGCTTATTGGACGTCCCACTTGCAGGTGGTCCTCACCGATACACCTCCACTCAGCCGGTAACTTTTTCTTTTTATATTTCATTGTTTAATGATTGGTTGAGACCCTTTTTTAATGACATTATTGGTTAATAATAATTAAACAATGAATTGTCTCTTCACTGCTTTAAAAGTTAATTAACTTAAAGTTTCATAAAAGTTTAAATTTTATGAAACTTTGTGCTACAATTATTTAAGGATATTTATTAATATTTTATATACATTTTTATATACTTTTTTATATATCAATTTCTGCTGTTCATAAGCTACACTTATATTTATATATTTATTAGTAAACAAGTATTTTATAACAATTATATAGAAAAGTTGAGAATTCTGCTTCCTCCATTGCCTCTTCTCTTCAAAATGCAGACATTTGTAATATACATGTATTATTCTTAGAAAGTTTTTACAATAAATATAAATTTAGTATTAAAAGATAATTTAATTTTAAATAAAATAATTTTGCATCCCTAAATCTTTTTTTTAAAATAATTATGGTATTTTTTAGAAAATATTAAAACACTTGTTAAGAAAAATAAATTTAATAAATAATTAATTTGTATTTTGTTAACGTTCTTTAAGATTATATCTAATATTTAATATTGAACGTTTATAAAGTTGATTTAATTTTTAAATATACTTATAAATATTTAAATTAAAGGTTTACTTGTTATTTCTGTTGAGGAATATAAAAAAACTTCTTTTAGAGATTTAACGTTAAGAGACAAATCTTTGCTTAAGAAAATTCCTTCGGGGCTCCCCGTCTTGTTAATTTTAAATAAGGCATGCATTCTCTTTTTTTTGTTACATTATATATATTAATTTATTTTTGTTAAATTTAAATTCTTTCTGGGTTTAGATTTATAACTTTCCTGTTTGAGTCAAAATCTTTTTAAATATTTATTTTTTGTCATGATTTGTAGTTAATATTATTGTACGAAATGTTTGCCTTTTTAATTTTACTAGTAAATTTTTTAGGAATTTACCTTATTAAAAATTGAATTCTTTATAAGATCTAAACTCGTAATTAAAATAATCTCTCTCTTAATTTTAAATCTTTTCAGTGTGATGATGAATATTCTCTGAAAAGATCTGAATCTACAAATCATTTATACAATCTGTTGAGTGAAAAAGTGAATGTCGTAAATAAAATTTGCATTTCTTGCGGTACAAAGTTTGGAATCGACGGCCTTAAGGTCACATTTTTCAATTTTAAAGAACTTTTTTAAAGATATTAATTTTCTTAAAAAGAATTTACTTTTTAAAGTTTTTTTAAATAATTTGCATTCAAGTTATTTTTAATTTTTTTTAAGGACCTTATAAAGATTTATAAAAAAGTTAGTCCGTGGATATTCAGCAAGGGAGAAAGTCCGCTTCGATTAAGTCCTCACGAAATTTTTCTTATGGTTGTACGTGAAAAGTTGCTTTTAAATTACGACGAGGAAATCCCATACCTTATTACACACGTGCGCTCTTATTAATGTTTATCGGGATTATTAGACATTTGTGATTTTATTATTAAGAGAGGATTAAAATTTTTAGTTTAAAAGTTTTTGCATTTCACTTTTAATTTTTTAATCCTTTTTATTTTTACTATTTTAGTTCAGAAAATTTAGCTTTTTTTGGTTATTTTTTTTGATTAAAGCGATTAACTTTTTTTTAAAAAAACGTTAAACAAAGGATAAAACCATTTTTAACTATCATCCCGCCGAGAAATGCATTTTTGTCAAGCACACTCTCATTTTTAATAAACGTTCAAGATTGGTATTGTGTTTGTTTTGCATGAATTTTTCCTTTAAATTTAAATTGTTTTAAAGATCATCTTTCTTGGCTCTGGTGGACGCGGCATTTCTATGCTTTCGCAGGAAGTTAGCTCAAGTCTGTCTGAAATTTGGGGCTGTCCTGTAGTATAATTGTAAATTTACTGATGCAAAGAAAACTTAGTTTTTATTTTGATCAGGTTTACATCACTTTTTTGGGGATTTTAAATAAAAAATCTGCTTGAGTTGGGAGTTCTGAAATATTATTGGCTGATTTTAATTTTTTTATGAAAGTTTAGTAATAAAAGGGAAACATCTTTTTTATATATATTCGTGGTTTTGCTTATCGTTTAATTGTAAATAATTGTAAGGCTTGGCGAAGGAAAAGTTTTGCTCAAATTAATTTATTAGTTTACTCCGCTATTTACAATAAAATAAAAAACCTTTAGCTGACTTTAATATGTTTACAAGAGTATCAATTACAAGAGAGGAGCCAGTAAAAAGTTATAAAAAACGAAATCAATTAATTTTACGAAACGTATATACAATATTTAAGAAATTTTCAGGACTCTCAAGGTTATGTTAATGATATTCAAGTATCGTACTAATAATATTTAAAAATTAAAAATATTATCAAAAAGAAAAAAATATCATAGTAACTACAAAGCTTTATTCAATAAACATTTTTTTAAAAAAGAACGTATGTAACATCTTAAGCTTTTTATTTATTTTAATCTAAAAATCTTAGCTCGTGCAGTTGTCTTGATCTCACTATCCTACAATAGTAGCAGTGATATTTTACTTATACAAGTTACGTAATGAAACGAAACGCAGTGTTATTGCTTTAATTTAAATAAATGTAAATTTGTACACTATATATTAGTAGTATTTTTATAAGTGCGAAAAAATTAACAAATACTATCAAATTGAGAGGTTAGTATGAACTTAATTTTACCTACAGTTTATAAATTATTTTAAAAAAAAACATTTTTAAGAGCTTTAGCAGATATACATAAGTAATAGTAAAATAAGGTAAGAAACAGTTAGAGAAAAGGAACTGTATTCTAAACAAAGATACATTAGCAGATATTTTAGTTTACTTCTAAATTGTTTGGCCTGGTCTGAGGTGATTTTGTTAAAGTAAATTTTTTTTAAGACTAATATTACATAAGATTTACCTTAAAACTGCTAAAGTGGTACGCTTTCAATAACTTTTAAAAACTATTAAATAAAACTTAAGACGCACAATAAACTATAATTTAAAGTATACGCTACGGAAGGATATTAACAACCCAAGAGAACTTTATATAATCGTCCCTCTAAAGTTATTTACATTCCTTTTACAAAAAGGTGTTTCTTTAAAACTAAAAGCAATTAAAAAAACAAGATTAATTAAATATTGAAACTATGCTTGGAGGAGTACAGTCACTCAGTTGTATATTAAGCTTTGCAGTCTTTTTTTAAAGTTTTTTTGTTTGCCGTCTTTTAAAGGCTTACTATTTGCTTTAACCCACCTTTATGGCACATTGTTAGACTTATTGTAAAAACTAAAGTTGTGTATGAATTGTGAAGTTATTACGTAAGCTATATGCATTTAATTAGACAAAAGCAGATCCTTTTGCATTAGATTTTAACCCTTTAGTAAAAATGTTTGAGTAAGATATATAAAAACCCGCAACAAGATAAGCTACAGCTTTTAAAGAATAAAAAATTGTTAAACTATAGATTTGCAACTTTATTTAAAAAAGCGCAACAACTTAGTAAAATGCTTAAAAAACGTTAAACCGAACTTTTCAGTAACACAGCAAAGACTGTTTTACGTTAAGTTATAAACGGTCTTTACACCAATCCCCTCGGGGCGTCGCTTGTGGATATAGATACTGATTTAGCGAAAAAGATATTAATAAGTTACGTTGCGGTCACCAACATTTTATTCACTTGACTCTAACTTTTAATGTCATATTAATTAACTGTTGTATAATATATAGTAATGGTAAAACACTAATATGGCTATCTTAAGTCTTTAATATAAAAGGTTTATCATCTTTATTTCTCCAATCCAAAAGCAAAAAAAAATTTCACAATTAATCGAGGAAATTTAACTTTTTTTTGTTCTTTCTTCAAGAAGCTGTTCCGAATTTAACAGTCGATTATTCTGCTGGGAAAGCATCTCTTGCACAGATAAAATCCACTTTAAATACAAATTTAGTTGGAGGATATGTTCTTTCTGTCGCCTTTTAAACTCTTCAGCTAAATTGGTACTAATTCTATTAAGGAGTTCTCTAAGACGCGCACGTGTAAGAAGCAAGGTAAGGAAGATACCTTGCGTGGTCTTTTTTTTGCTGCTCGTACTCGTCTTTACTTTTCTCCAGCTCGCAATTAAGGAAGGCTATGGTCTTCTGCAGCTCCTCAATGTGATTAGTGTATCTCTCCTCGTGTTGCTCATACTCTTTCTTACGCCATTCTAGTTCATTTGTTAAGTGTTTATTAACGTTTATAAGTTCTTTATAAAAGCTCTTCAGTTTCTCTTTCTCTTCACTTATTGCAGTGCACAACTCAGAGAGGGTCTCTACTTTATATGACATTTGCAAGTTCTCTTCTTCGCATTTCTGCAAGTTAACTTCTAGTTCACTCGTGTTCTCTCGGTTCTGTATTTCAAGGTTCTTAAGATTTTCAAACATCTTTTCGTAGTTCTCTATTTGCTTATAAAAGTAATTATACTGTGATTGCTGACTTGCCTTCACTTCTTCGGATGGCTTTAAGAATTCATAACATCTTTGCAAGTTAGTCTTTAATTCCTGGTATAAAGATCCCCCAAGGTTATTTGACTATATAAATTTAATTTCTGAACTGATATACCTGAAATTCTTCAGTAAAATCAATAATAAAATGTTCATAATCGTCAATAAGCGCCTGCTGGCTTGTCATAAGAGTTTTAGCATTTTCTAGATTTTTTGCAACCACTTCTGAAAGTTCTTTTTTCCTAACCTTAACTAAGCTGTTAGTATACTAAAGATTTAGTGAAATATATAAAACAAGGGTTTCGTATTACAACGGTAGCGCAATTATCCACTGTTGCTTTAATTTAATAAACTCAATTAAGGCGGCCCCGCCCTCCATCCTCTTTTTGCAATTATTTACTCTACTACTTAATATCTACTGTCGCGCTCTCTACAAATGTAAAAAATTAAATATGTCTCACGCTGCGCCACCTTCTTGTTAGTGCCAGAACAAGTCAACTTCTCCTGAGAATTACTAAGAATACTTACATCGTAAAGATATCTGCCATTAAAAAAGATTGTAAATACTTCGTATGTCCTTTTTTATGAAGCGCTTCCAGCTGGGAGAAAAAGTGAAGATTAACTTTTGTGAGCATCTCAATTGTGGACTTTTTTGCAAGTATCTCTTGCTTCAGTTGTTCTGTACTCTCTCTTACAGCTTCGGAATTTTTATCACGGAGTGACCATTTAGAATTCTCTTCTGAAGCACTCTTCGCGGCAACCTCTTTCCCATTTAAACATATCTAGTATACTTTTAATAAACCAGTAAAAGGTGAAAGCAAAATTAAATAAAAAAAACCAAATCTGCATTTTGTTCCTCCTCAAAATCTAGGCTTAACCCGGAGTTAGAAGGAGAAACATTCTTTAAAATAATATTTAAGTTTTAAATGACTGAAGAGACTTCATGTTTTAATAACCTGCGGAAAGTCTTCCACAATGGCTGTGTGCGTGGTGCTGGCTGTTAAAGTGAGGCACAATACACATAGAGAGTGTAAAAAAGGTGAAATGAGTGTAGTGTTCTTAACGAAGTATTATAGTAATTAATAGAATTAATAAAAACTAACGAGGATCTTTAAGCGCTTCAATTAAGATATAAATAATTTTTTTTATTTTTACTGTTTTTACTTAGACCTATTTTCCTTTTTTCTACATCTCTTACGCTGTTGGTAACTATAATACCCGGAGCCTCCTCATCTTGTTCTCGCGCACTGTCAGACTATGGATGTGTCGTGCATAAGAACTAAAGCAACCCAACATTAAAGTATTAAGAAATAACTTTATTAGCAGCAGTCCCGTTTTCTTCAACTTTATGTGTCATTGTGGGAAAAGTCTTCCTTAATAGTGCAGTATTGTTTTTATTTCCTTCTAAACCACTTTTAAACCTCAAAAAATAGAATACAGAATTAAGTAGAAACCGCCTGTGAGAAGGAAATAAGACATAATGCGCTAACACCCTCTTAATTTTCTTTACTAGTAAAAACAACTATGTGGATATAGCCAATGTACTAGGCACGCCCTAACTTTGAGGCGTACGATTTTGCCAAACAGAGAATAACTTTGTAGGCAAGTACGATTGCAAGTGGACATTAGGAAACCGGCCTCTGAGCTCATGCAGAAGCGCCCAATGTTTTCTGTTTGCCAATCGCTTAATGTTTTTCAGCAGAGCGTCGTTGTGCTCACGAGCCTCTTGATAAGAACACTTGGCTTCTTTAACTTCAACGGACTGAGCAAAAAATTTTAAGAATTGAAAAGTGTTGAGTGGGCTAACAATTTACACCAGTGCAGTGAAACGAGTTTTCAGAAGAGCATTTTCGTCCTCCATTTCGTATAATTTAGCTTTCGTACTGCTGTAAAGAGCCTCAAGCTCGTCGTACTTCCTTAAATAATCGCCATCCTTCCTTTCTATTGTTCTAGCTTAACACTTAATATATCGCGTTAAGCGTATATTTTCGACCTTTTTCTTCGTAGAAGAAAAGCTTTTCCCGCAAATAATCAATTTTTTTAGTCAACTTGTTAATTTCCTCTTTGTAGGCAAACTATTAAAGTTAACATAAATTTTATTATACTCATTTAAAAAAAAACAAACATCCGGATGCTCCGTAGGAGACAGGAAAGACTCTGCCCTTTCTAAGCTAGTCGACTGGAAAAGAGAATCTTCAAATGAAGAGCAATTCAACAGAGAAAACGCGAATAAAACTTTGCAGGCACTCCCAGCGGGATTTGGCTGTTCCCACAGAGTCGAGTAGATTTCATCTTGATGCATAAATACAACGTCGTAAACCTCTTTTACTTCATCATAGCTGCATCCTTTATAACAAAGCGGTATTTATGAGCTCACGTATACAAAAAAGTAAGCTTGGACCTCTGCTACGATCGCTCGCGGTCAGCTCAAAAAGCCGACCTACTTCTCCTTTAATTCTATATAAAAAGAAGTATATAATAAATAATAAAAAAATTAATTATTTCTAATAAATTAACAAAAGTTAAAGCAGGGCTAATATATAAAATACTACCTAGATCTAATGCGCTTTAGGATGACATTTTCTTGAACCAGAAAATCTCTATTCTCCCACTTCTTATTAATAAAATTAAAATTAATATTTGTAACTAACAATAAAGTGATTTATAAAACTGGAAAAAGCTAGATAGATTAAAACCGGAAAAAATAATAATAAAGGTATTTAAATTTCAAAAACGTTAAAGCTATTCATTATAGAAAGTGGTCAAAACAATATATCTAAAAAATACAAACTTTATAAGCAGCAATATTTTTAACGAGAATACAATAACTATAGGAGAATATTAACAAGTTTTTTGGAAAATTTAAAAATTTTATAACAATTTATAGTTATAAAAAAGTCACTTGATAAACCGAAGTTGAACAATTTTTATTTTAGATTAAAATCTTAGCTTAAAACAAATTATTTTAAAGAAAAATTGATAAATATGAAAATGTTTTTTAGCAATGGACCAACAAAAAATATTACTTACCCCATCCGTTTTTACAAGAAAATTTTCATAATATAAAAGTTTGAGCTTTAAAGCATAGTTGACCATTTGTAATTGGTTTATATAGGAAACGCAATCTTTTACTTTATAAAATTTTTTTTAACTGTAAGTAAGAAAAAGCATAAATAAACCATTGTCAAGATTGATATTCGCTCGTATTTTTAAGTTAACAGTGGGCAAAATTTTGTAAGCTTCAATATTTGACTCACGGGCTTTAATGTTGTTATTATATGAAGAATTATTATTCATTTGGTTTAAAGTAGCGCTGTCATCTTCAGACGTAATAGTATCAATATTATTTTTAACAAAAGGCTCACTTAAATTTTGGCTTCTACTAAAATTTTGATTTTCTAGCTCGCTACAAGCGAAGCTATGCGATAAATTGCTATCAACAAGTGAACTGCTTAGATCAAAAGGTTTTTCCAAAAAGTTTTCCTCCTTTAAAGCGCCTTCTATAAAAGAGTCATAACTAATAGAATTTTGATCACATATACTTTCTTCTTTTTCTTGTTTATAATATATTTGGCATGACTGGTCACAACAATCATCACTGATTTTAGTTGATGATAGCTCGCCCTGAAGAGTCATACTATTCGCAACTGCTATGTTGAAGAGATAAAGATTTTCAAGCACAATATGCTTGGTTCTTACCTCGTTCACAGATATTTCAGTCTATGGGGAAGCTCCGTCTACTAAATAGGTTACTGAACTCTGCTTTCTTTAATAAAAGGGTCTGTGTGTGAAAGTAATCGTTGTACCTATGAAGCACTAAACAAACTTAAATTTATGAAATGGACAGCCAAATCGAAGTTACGCAATGCCTTTTAGCTAATGAAACGTTACGGTTAAAAGATGTTTCATGCTTAACACGTAGTTATATTGTATACTTGCCCTTCCTTTTACAAGATATTAAGGTAAAATTAACTAATTATTTTAAAAACGTTATTTGTTTCAACAAATACCAACTTCAAAACAAACTAACGGTAAATTTAAAATTTTAGTACTAAAAGTGCCAAAAATGCAGGCTATTCATTTTACAGTTGTATACAATATTACCACTATTATAGAGGTTACTGCGACCCCTGTAAACATACATGGCGCAAAGAGAGTTGCTATTGCTTTTTTTTATCTGGCAGGAAATGCTAAATGGAAAAGAATGTAAATATTTTAATCAGTTTTACGTGCAAAGTTTAAATTGTAAGACTATCCACTGGTATAGCAAAGTATGAAATAAAGGCGAAATTCTTAGCGACTGTGCGGAGCGCGAAGAATGCGTTGTCTTGGGCTCGACCAGGCCCTTGTTAGCCTCCAGTTTAAACCTATCCTGCTTGGCGCTTTTTAAAGGTACATAAAAATCTTATCGAAAAAAAAAAGATTACTGGAGTTTGGATTTAACCTCTCCAAACTGTATACCACTCATTCAGCTTAGTCAAAAAAGCCAGTTTTATAAACCATAACTCCCTACTTTTAAACTAAGAAATTCACAAAGTTAACTATTATCTCTTCCCAAAACCCTAGAAAATATTTTTCCAACCAACTAGAAAAAAGGGTAGAAAAGGTCTTCCACGCTAGAAAAGTGCACTTTGTTCCTCCCTCCCGGTTAGGAGCTCATAGTCAGGGAGGCCGGGCTAGCAGTGGTGCTGGCCGGTGTCTCTAGGTGACTTCAGCCTAGGGCTGCCTCTCCTGGTGGTGATTTTTAGCGGTTTTGCACCACACTAGGTCGAATGGTGGGTGTCTGAGCCCGATATTTTTCGCTTTTTCAACCTTTCGAGGGGGTCATGATAGCTCTATATCGCGTACAGGGGTGGACACTCCTGCTCCAACCCCTGCTGAAGAGGGTAATTCAGATTAAGGGCTCAAGGTCTAAAGAAGAACCGACCGTAGTATGCCAGATCTAAAAAAAAATGTGCACTTTTTAAAATTTTTCTTATGCACACACAGCAAGTTTTTGTTCGGTGGAGGAAGAAAAAGGAGCAAGGGATTCTTTTTTAAGTTTATTTGCAGGCACTCCTTTTCCAGCCGGTTTTACTGAGAGCAATCTACCACTTGAAGTTTTAGAACAATATAGCTGCCCTTAAAAACGATATAATAGAGAAATTAATGAAAAGATTAAGGATACATTCTGCTTAGTAGCCTGAAACTACTATAATACTTGGAGAGCCTGCAATTATTATGGATTCATCTGGATAGAAGATTAGGTGAAAAAAAAGAGAAAGACGCCTTTTTTCGAGTACCTCTACTACCTCACTTTCAGCTTTTTACGCCGGAGAGATAGAGATCGATACCTACTGTTACCAGGTGGATAACTTTTTCATAAAGTAGTTAAGCGTCCTAATTTGAAAGAAATGCTGTAAACGTGCCCAGGATTCATTATAACAGTTTGAAAAGGTGACTACCTTAGAACAGTTTTGTACTTCTCTGTCTTTGGGGTTGCTTGTTGCCAGCTCTCTAAAACAAAATTCCTCACAAATTGTATTCGCGGCGTCTATTAAAATCGTAGGAATAACACTTCTTCTTAAGCCCCTTGCTGGCATGTTCTCTGATGGGTCCTTAAGTAAAGGCCCCTATAAGATACATTACTCACCCTCTTATGTTCACTGTAGACTTCTATTTAAAAGCAGTTAATTGCTTGCTTACCAATTTGGGGGATTAACGCTAACACTAGGTCTACCTTGGTTCCAGAGGCTTAATACCGAAATTATTTTTAGGAAGCTGACAATAGTATTTCAAACTCCCTTTTGCAACACTTATCTATGCTCGCTTTGATCTCCTATGGTAATTTAAGCCCCACTAAGGTTAAGCCTTATATTAAAATGGACATAAAAACAGGCGGTTAGTAATTCCTGTGACATTTGTGGAATCGTTATTAGGAAGGAGTATATAGCAACTGCCACACCCTTGGATTCTCGTGGTGCCCCCTAAATTCAGAGATTTTTCTGTAGCGTTTGTACCATAGGACGGTTATAGTAAGCAGGTTATCGCTCCTGCCTTATCGTTTTTTCTCACCTTTTATTAAATGAAGACTACAGGGCTTAACGAAGAAACAGTTTACTGTATTGCTTTAGGAGGCCACGTGCGGCTCGGACATGCCCGCGGATATAAATAGAAATAGCACACCTCTTAGGTGCTAAGGAGACAGTATGCTTAGCGCTTTCTAATGCCTTATTAGATAAATACGTTTATCTTTAAATTATTATAATTTGAGGGTTTTAATAAAGTTAACGCCAACAATTGCTAACATAAAATATTAACCTAATTTAGTTGTAATGAGCACGCAAATAATTATTTTCTCTTCTTCTTTTGCAGGTATATAAGTTAAACGTCCTCTTGGGAAAAACAGATCTTGCTAAATCCATTCAAAACACATACAAACCGTCGTTTATCGCAGTAATAGCTTGCCCTTGCTGCATAGTAAGGAGTAAAACCTCTTTAATCACGATTTAGGCTTCCCCAGTATACCGACACAAAATTTTGTTGTCGATGGTGACTCCCAGGTGTTTCGCTTGCATCAGAGGTTAATAACACAACCAGAGGATGAGCATAAAAATTGTTATTAAGGATGCTTAGCTCTTCGTCGCACTTGGAAGCAGAATATATCAGGCCATAATCCTGTGGATAGGTATATAAGTATGTCACGTGCTTTTTAAAGCGTTAAACAAAGAACAATCGGGTCCAAATAGCTAACGGTGTTATCCTTTGGTATTTACTAACAACCCTCTTGGAAGGCTACATCAATCGTGTACGGTTAGTCATAAAAGCTCACGTAGTCTGTGTCAATATTTAGTTAAAAAGCGTTTGTTACAAGTAAAGGTGAAAATTAGTATAGGTGGAATGATTTCTTTTCAATTGGTCTCTCTTCTATACTTAGTGACCTCACTACGTAATACCTTTTTTCGCTTTGTTAACTTTATTGCTTCTTTTTTTGCTTTCGGTTTTTTACTTCTCAAGTTTAGTCTTGTGCCGAGTAGGTTTTAATAATTACCTCTTACCCTATTATGAACTTACTAAATATTATACTTAATACTTATACTTTGTAATTACTGGTATTGATACGATGATTTAGTCTATTTACAAGGTGAAGTCGTGGAAGATCATATAGCCGACTATGAACTGTTTGAGGACATTTTGGGAGGAGATCACGTAACATATCCATTTATACTATACTTTATTATAATAAGATCTTTTTTTTATAAGATTAAGCGTCATCCTCACTTTATAATTAAGTCGCTTTTCCCCATGAGCAGGGATAACGGTGTAATCATCTATAAACAGTTTTTTATCTAGCGTTTTTTACGCTTAACTTTATAGTTTTTACACTGGGAAAAAGCACTACACTTTTAATCGGTGTGAAAAATATCGCCAAAAAAACTATTTTTACCGTTGAAGCAATCCAAGCTTCCCTTAGGCATCCTTTATATTGGCCTTTGAGATTGCATAACGTACAATTACATGAGACTCCCTGAGCCGCTATTTTAAAATTACAATTGTACAAAAAGAAAAATATTAATTTTTTTATAAATTATATTTGGTTAACAGTTTTCAAAAGAACTTCTTTATCAGCAAGTTCGAAGCCGCCAAGAGTTGTCGCTAGAGTACTCCTTTAAACCAAGCAAAGTTATTAATCCCCCAATATTATGGGATGACTATATTAATTCGTTACCATGATCAAGAAGGTTACAAGATTGTTTTAAAGTAAAACTTTATATCTTTTAAAAAATTACAAAGCATGTATAAGTTTATGATTGTTTATAATTTGCTTAAAAGGTGTGGGATATACTGATGCCATTTTTAATGATACTGTCAATTTTTTAGAAGATTCTGGTTTAGACCTCCAAACTACTTTTATGCTGTCTATGCTCTGTGGTTTAAAATATTTTTAATTAATTATTTAGAAAAAATTTTAAATTAAAATCTATTGGGCTGACTACCATGCTGAGTTAATTTAAATCTTTTTTAGGTCTCTTTTTTGCTTTCATTTATCTTTTTATAACCCCCATATCTACTGCCGGTAGGTTCAGATTAATATTTTTTTATTGAAATTTATTTAACTTGGATGTTGCAGTTTTAAAAAAACCGGAAATTCAGTCTAAAGAAACGGAAAATAAAAAATTATCTGTCCAAGACGACTGGCTTCCACCAGGAATAACTAAGAAGGAAAGTTCAAAAACCAAAAAAAAATTAAAAAAAAATAATGTTATTAATTCGACTAGTTCGCTTGCTTACTTTATCCCACAGCAATTTACCTTTTCACAAGATTTAAATAAAATTTTTTTTTAAAAAATTTTTATAAATTATAATTCGGTTGTAAAGGCTTAAAGTTCATCAACTTAATAATTTTTAAAAATTTTTATGAAAGCTCTAAAATATAGGCCTTTTATTAAATTCTATTATTTAATGTTCTTATAAGCACGTCATTTTTCTTCAGCAAAGGCTAGCATTGCTCTATAAACTTCCTGTCCAATCAAGCTTTTTGCCTATATAAAAAAATTTGAAAGGTTTGTTAACAAATAAGTTGTAGTAAGCAACCGACAGATTAATTATTTATTCGAAAATAGTAAAAATATTAAGGTCAAACATTTCCAGTTAAAAGTTATTTACAAAAATCTAGTAAAAAATTGTAAAGGTTTTTTAAAAAAAAAATGCACCTTTTTTTGCTCGTCACCTTCGTTAATCATTTTTAAATAAGATGCCAACGCATTTTGAACTTTCGAGATGTCAATATCTTTTTTTTCGCAAAGTTCCTCTACGGAAACTTGAACGCTTCCATCAGCGTTCACTGTTACTGTACCACTAGAAACTTGTAAGGAAAAAATAAATACAAAAAAAAAAATGAAAATTTATTTTTATTGAGAACTTAGAATGTTTTTTATAATAAAAACCAAAATAAGACTGTGTTCTTCCTTGGGTGGTGGCAACTTTAACTACTCCAGGGCGAAGAACAGCGAGTGTGGGTATATGCTTGCCGACAATTTCAAAATCGCCTTCCATTCCGGGCACTGTAACTCCGCTTACTTCTTCGTTTACAAAGAGAGAAACGCCTGGATAATAACAATGAAATAATATTACTACTTACGTTCGGCATTTGGGAGTTTCCAAAACTAATAATATAAATATCGAAAACCAGGAGAGCCAAAAGAGAGTTTGACGGTTCCAATTCCTGAAGATGTTTCGCTGGAAAAGAGCCGAGAGAAATTTTTATATGAGTTCAGGTTGAACATCTAATTAAAAAAAATAGTGGCAAACAACAAAAAGTAGAAAAAGAACTTTAATTTTATACAACTTAATAAAAAATAACATGACTTATATAACCTTCTCTCTGCAAAGCGCTCTCCTAATAAACATATTTAGGTATACTATTTAAAAATCTCAACACCAACGCAGTAACCACGCAGTTCTTGTCAAGGACGGTAACGACGTTACATTATCAATATGCATAGTGCGAGGGCAATCCACAAGTGATATTGGCCATATTCCCGTATTTCAAGGCGTTCAGACTAATCTATTTATTGCTTGGCGTCGAGCCCCCTTAAGAATTTCGTTGCATTCTGTTAGCGGGGCGGAATACCGTGCTCTCGTCTTGCGCTTGCGAGTAGCGCAAATGGTCTCCGTTAGAGCGAGAAAGAGGGTCTGAAAATGGGGTCGTCCACAACCTGTGGATCGCTCGCCCTTCGCTAGGTCCTGACATTACTCTTCTTATATACGGGCGGGCTTGGCTTTTTCCAGGTTTAAAAGGTTGAGTGCCTTTTATTTTTAATTAGCGACTTAGTAGAATCTAAAATATTTCTGGAATAATTTTTTTTTTTGAATGTCGGCTGTTTTGGTTTAATATTTGTACACATGATAATGGAAAACCGAGCTAGTGATGATACACCAATGGAACTTGATATTAGTAAAGAAGATTACGAATCTTGGGAAAAATCAAAACTTTTCTCAAATCCTCGCCCTAAAATTCTTTCTTTAGATAGTGAAGGCTCTATTATAAACAATGATACACAAGGTTTTTTTTATTGCTTATATACTTTTTTTCTAAGTACCTTTACTTTTTCTTATAAGTTAATTCTAATAAGCAAGTGTTGGAAACAAGGGATAGACCCTCTCTTTTATCAAAAATTTCTTCTTTGAACTTAGGTGAGCCATCAAAACTCAATGTAAACATTGATGACTCTGGGAAAATTGTAAAAAATAAGGGTAAAGCTAAGATCTTGTCCATTCCCTTTCAAAGTCATACGCCAAGCCCGTCTGTGTCTTCAAAAACTATTAGTAGACTACCGCTTCAATCTGTTAATTATTTAACTCCTAAACCAAAGAGATCGCCCAAAATTTATCGCCCTTCAAGCTGTAGGACTAGTATACAGTTCTTGCCGAGAAATTATTACATTACCCAAGAATTTTTAAAGGCATATATATTAATTTTAAATTAACTATGTTTTACCAGTACTAAATATAAATTATGTCTATATATTACTAGAAAAGGGGGGCCTATAGTAATAGTAAAACTTGCAATTCCAGTTGTAATGAGTGTCACACAAGTAAAAATGATTCTTCTGTCAACTTTAATTTATTTCGGCCTTACGCTCCTTTTTTATTGCTTGGGTAAGCTTTGTTTTTCTTAACCTTTTTGTATTTCCGCACAACCCTAATAACTATAATAATAAGTTATCTTCAGGTCCTTTTCAGCGCATTTTTAATTGGTTTGTTGATTTTCTTACTAGTTCAACTGGTTCTTGTTATAAAGGTTATTATTTCTTATTAGCTGGTCGAGTGTCTTTGAACATTATTTATTATTATCAATAAAGTCTGACATCGAGAGTAAAGTTCAAGAACAAGCTCGGATTGTAATGGACGAGATAAGTGACTGTTTGCGCCATTACCGCGCTAACCGATGCAACGTGGAGGATCGCCTTCCTGGGCTTCAGCAGGCGTGTACAGAGTGGGAGCGCTGCATGAATCGGGATCCGGGAATTGTTGCGAGGGGGCGCGTTTCCTTTGAGACGCTGGGAAGCACCATTAATAGCTTTATAGAACCGCTTTCTTATAAATCAATGGTATTTGAATTTTTTTAATTCTGTTTAAATTAATTTTTCATGTTACGGAAAAGTTTTTCGGTGTTTTGATAGTTGTTGGAATGGTTATGACCAACTTTCTTCTGACATTTATAAGAAATTCCTCAAAGCCACTGGAACGGTCAACTGCCTTGCAAAATACCCAGAAGGATTCCGCTGATATAATAGTTACTAATCTTTTTTTAAAATTTTTTTATTTTGTTAGAAGCTTGGAACTTTTTTATCTGATTTTGTGTAATTAGTATTGTTTCTGCTTTTAAGTTTTTTTTTGCAGGCCTTGAATCCTGTTGATTCAGTTAATCTTCAAACCGTTTATAATAAAAATTAGCGCTGTTCAAAGTTTTACTTCTTTTTTTTTACTTTAATTAAATTTTAGTAGCAATTTAGTTTCAAAGTACTATTGTACCTAATATATTTTAAAATTTTTACTTCAAATTCTTTAAAGTTATTTTAAGTATTTGAGGTGAATAATAAAATGTTATGCAACGTTGCTTATAAAAATTATTTTATTTATACAATTTTATAAATAGTTAATTAAAAATATTTAAAAGTATTTTTAATGAATAATTATTATATATTTTATTAAATTTAGTTTTATTTTCAGTGCAGATTGCCTTAATAACTTTTTTTGCTTAAATTATTACGTAGTTTTAGCATTAAATGTCAATTTCTAGATTCTTTTTCTGGTTTATTGTTATGGAACTTATTTTAATAAGTTTATTAAAAAAGTAAATTTATTAATATGTAAACTTAATTTTACAATTTTAAATTTATAGTAAAAGGCACTTGAAAAAAAATCGTTTTGGGAATTAAAAAAATAAAAGCTTATTCGCTCTACCAGAAAATTAAATTTGTAATTTTAAAAGATTTAATTTTTAAAAGATTTAATTTTATATTAAACAATTAAGAGAACTTAGTGCTAAGTAACTTTTTTTTTGATAAATAATCTAAATATAGTAGCATTCACTTCTCTTAATTAATTAATTATTAAAGTTCGTATATAACGATGAGCTAATAATTTAGTTTAGTTAAGTTTATCATAAGTTAGTGTTTTGCATCAAAGAAAGCATTTTAAATATTAAATTAAGTGAAAGTTAGAATTAAATCTTCAAGTTTGCGAATCAAGTTGGAATTTTTAATTTTAAACGGCATTAATACTGATTTTGATAAAAATTAATTTTTAAATTTTTAAATTCATAATTAAGTTAGGCACATTTTTATGTATTAATAGTAAATAAAGTAAAAAATTTTATGTATTGATTTGTAAATAAAGTAATTTTTTTTTTTACATTTTCCATTACCTTCGCAAATAAAAAATTTTTTTAAATTAAGGCGAAGATTGTTTAGCTGTACTGAACTAAATTATTAAAAGTCCTTACAAAAAAAAAGGAGAAATTTTTAGGCCACGGAGCATGCTTTACTCGTAAATTGTGTACTGATTATTGCGCAAAAATTAAGGCTAAACTATTATAAATTAATCAAATTGACTTTATGGAATTTTTTTACGTTTACAAATTAATTTAGAAGTAGAGTATAGTGTTTATAAAAATTTACAGATTCTTAAGTCTAGTATTGCACCTAACTTCTGCTTTAACTATACTTTTATTAGATAGGAACATTAATACTAATTTTTCCGACTCAGCAGCAGGAGGAGATCCCCTTATGAGTGCAATTATTTTGAGTCTTTGGTCATCCAGAGGTTTATATCATTGCTCTGCCTGCTTTTGGTTTGATATCTTTAAACATGACTAATTATACCTTAAAGCCTGTATTCGGGCCTTTTGGTATGATTTTAGCTATGACCTCTATTGGTGTAACAGGTTGAATAGTTTGAAGTCATCATTTATTTAGCGTTCAACCGGTTCCAGGGTTTATTTTACATTAGCTACCTTGGTAATTGCTGTACCTACTAACGTCAAGATTTTCTCTTGCTTAGCTACTTTGTTTGGGAGTCAAATTAAATTTAATACCTCAATGCTATTTGCTTTAGCTTTTGTGTTTTTATTCATGTTAGGAGGTTTCCCCGGAGGTATACCTGCAGATGGTTCTTTAGAAGTACTTTCACATGATAACCCTTTTGTAGTAACTCATTTTCTTTATATTCTGTCATTAGGCGCAGTTTAGTTTATTATAGATTTCTTAGTTCTGGCCAAGGTTAATAAATTAATTGAATAAAAAAGTTGAAATTTATGGAATTTTATACGTGCAAAATTAAATTTAGGAGCAAAGTTTAGGATGTTAAATATAGCGTTTTTTATAATGAAAGTGACTTTAGAAATTTTTGAAAAGTTAAGTGTGGTTTTTGTTAATTTTTTAAAAGGGCTGTTAATATTTTTTAACGTTGCAGTTTAGTTTATTATATATTTCTGTGGTCCGGCTAAGAATAATTTTACAATTTTTAATTTATTTTTTCAGTTAAAAATATGGCAGAGTTTTAGCAATTCAACTATAATTACTATATAACGTTTATATAGTACTTTAGGGTTAACCTTATTTAATTGGGGAGGTGAATTAAACATTACACTCCGTTTTTTAGCCGATTTTCGGTTTATTACATTTTATAAAATCTTATTTATTAAAATATGATTCCTTACTTTAACGATTTACGTTTTAAATTTTTATTTCTCTTCAATTGACGGCCAGTTCTGATCTCTTGGCCTTAACATTAAGTTCAATGGGAAAATATCGATTCAAACAATCTTTCCAAATTTTTAAATTTTTCAAAACTTTTTATATAGAAAATGAAAGTATGTTTTTATATCAGTTTTTATATTACTTTGTAGTTCTCTACAATTAAATATTATTTTATCAAAGTGTAGTCAACCTGAGAGAACTAGCTTTTTAATTTTTATAAACATTACAAAAATAGTCAATATTCCCGCGACGTCTTGTAAATTGGTCACTTTTTAAATTAATGAATTGATTTTACAAAACTCAAGCTAACTATTTTTTGAATTTTATTAATTTTTGGATTCTAAGATAACTGTACTAAATTGTGTTACTACTTTTCTTGTTTTATGCACATCTTTTCTTAAGTTGGGGTTCCACTTATAACTGAAGGATGACTATTTTTAGTTGTTATTGCAAAAGACTTTAATTTTAATATTCTTTTCAAGTCGATTATTTCTCTTTTATGAAATTTCCTGTTCTTGCATAAAAGCTCAACCCCCTAAAAGAGTTTTAGCTATACACCTTGTGTTAAGCGACTCTAAGAAAATTAATTATTTTTGATTTTTTAACCTTGCACATTCTATTAGAAAGGCTTTAAAAAAAGAAAAAGAAGCTTTAAAAAAAGAAAAAGAAGCTTTAAAAAAAGAAAAAGAAGCTTTAAAAAAAGAAAAAGAAGCTTTAAAAACCTTTTGGAAATAATAAAGCTTTATATAGATCTATTTTAATCTTAATATTTGTGAGTAAACTTTTTATAAAATTGAAAGAAAACAAAGTACACAGCTTTATTGTATAGAAAATTTTAATAAATTTTTATTTGCAGTTATGCAAAACAAACGGAAGGTATAAAAATGGTATACAATTCCCAAAACTTGAAAAAATGGGTAGATTCTGCTGTATACTATTACAAATAAACTATACTTTCAATTAAAGTTTTTATATAAAAAATATCGTCGATAACCCTTTATTAAAACTAGAATATAATAAAATAAAGCTATTCGACTCATTTTAAAGTTTGTTAAATACTTCCTTTGCTACCCGCACCTTCCCGAGAAGTGCATTACTTTTTTCTTTTAAATTTCTTGAATATTCTTTGGCACTTTCCAGGGACAGTTCAACGTTTTCTTCCATCTTATAAAAGATTATACATAAGTATGACTAAATAATATTGTAATAGGAACTAAATTTTATATAAAAACGTCGATGCCATAAATGTAAACGTACAGGGGGAATATTAAAGTATCGTATGTATTCATCTTTTTCTAGTTCTTTTTTCAAAAATAAAATTGAATTCAAGCATTTTAGACGAAACCTTTTTACTTTTTCATTAGGGGCTAAACAATCTCTATTGATATTTTATTTTATATAAGCTGATATCCGAAGTATAGTAATACTTGTTTTTAAAGACATTACAAAGTATCGTAATACTCGAGGCCTTCTTGTTCAACCTGCTTGACTTTTTCCAGGATATTATCAATGAATTTTAAAAAACTTCTAACCCTTCACTAGTATACTGATCCATCAACCTTAAAGGAAAGCAAAAAACTAAACTTTTTCTTCCGAACTGGAGAAGTTTTAAATATTAAAAACTCCTGAAGCAGAAAGCATAGCGATAACAAGTGTAAGTCACATACTGAAAAGTTATAAGAACCCTCTTTGCTTGACACGTTCTTTGAAAAAATAAAATTAAAAACAAATTTTTTTGGTCAACTTTTTATTTTAATTAAGTTATTCAGCTTTCTACCAACCTAACAGAGATGTTACTTTAAACTTAGTTCCTTTATTTTTTTATAAATTCAAATTATAAAATTATATACACAGACAAAGTTGGAATTCTTGTCTCCGGAAGACTTAAGGCTAGATGGTAAACGACCTAAAAAAATAAGAAAGTTTGTAGGGGGGATGAGTAGCTTATACATATAATATGAATCATTATAAACTTTACTCTTTTTTTTTTGCATATATATATATGGTGTTAAATATTTTAATATATAATAAAAGAATTATTAACCTTTTTTTACATTTTTTTACATAATAATTTATCTAAAATTATCTTTTAAAAAATTATTTAAAATTACATTGTTATAAAAAATAAACATATTTAATCTAAATATTTATTTAATATTTTTAAACTAATTATAATTATCCTATTTTACTGCAGCTCTAAAACTCGATGGTGTGCAGGATATTTTTTAAAGATTAATACTATTTTATTAATAATTCATTTAAGAATATTTCCTTTTTTTTTATTTAATTTAGTTTTATTAATAACTTCACTTCTTTGAGTAGCTTACACAAAATTAAATTTATATATTTATAAACTTTATTCTCTCTGCCTCATTCACGTCTATATCGTATATAAATATATATATTTACGTCGCAAAACATTTCTTCTTGGGGCGTTTTTGAACAGACGGATGGCTCTGCCTACGTAGAACAAGGAAGTACCAAAGCACTGGCTTCGATATATGGTCCTTACAGTGTTATTATTGTTGCAGTTTTCCCCTCTCTCATTTAATTATATTTTTACTTTCAATTCGACTTATTTTTTTCAGCAATTAAAAACAATTTATTTTTTAATTTTTAATTTATTTTTGGTTATTACATTATAAAATTACGTTAATAGTACTTTTTTATTATTATTAAATTTTTATATATATATTTTTTTGAATATCTCATTCTCTTTTACCAGGTAACATCGAATTCAAATACCAATTACAGCCGTTGTGTATTAAATTCTGAATTTTCAATGGCCAGCTTTTCTTCCGGCGAGAGACGGCGGAAACAACAAGCGATCTCAGGTGGGGTGAAAAAATTTCTTTATAAATTATTATAAAAGTAGCGTTTAAAATTTTTTATATTTAAAAATGTCTTTTCATGCCTAAATTACATAAATTACTTTTAATATTTATTACCACTTAATAATTATTTATTTAAAGGGGCTTTTTAAAGTGTTTTGTATCATAATTTTAGTTAGTTTATAAAAATCCTTTATTTTAAAGGCAACTTTAGTTTTCTAAAATTTAACTATTTTAATTATTTAAATTTTTATTAGAATCTTAATTTCTATCTAAATTTGATTTAAAATTTGCTTTGATTTATTAAAAATCTTTTTTAAAACTATTTTATCTTTTTAAAAAATTGGGATTTCATATATTTTATATAATTTTTTAATTTTTACTGTTGATATTTCTACTCGCTTTACTAATTATATATTTTTAAAATTTTCTCCTTTTTATAATTAGCTAGTTTTAAGTTTTATTATAAATTTACCAATCTAATCATTTTCTTAGAAAGGGCATAATTCATAATTGTAGTTATTCTTATAAACAAATTTATAACTAAATGATATTCTTTTTCTATATTATATTCAAACAACTTTTTATATTTATATTTTATTATCATTTTATATATTTTTAACCATTTTTAAAAAATCAAAGATTCTACTTATAAAAAATTATTTTTTTTGTCTTTTTTATGTATCATTAATTATTTAAAGAAAAAATAATTATTTTCTATAGTCATAATTATTGAATGATTATATTTATATATATTTTTTTTCGTTTATATTATTATATAAATAAAAATAAAGACATCCCTTTTTTATAGTTAATTTATCTTAAAAATATTTAAAAATCTACTTTTTTATAATTCGTTCATATAATTTTATTATATCTATTCTTTATGAATTATTATTTATTTATTAACATTTTTAATACTAAATATAATTTTTTATGTATTATTAATATTTAATATCGTTTTTATATATTTTTTATAGTTTTTTTATTATTTAATATTCATTATTTTTTTTGAATTATGTTTTTATTAACTAGTTTACTTATATCTGTAGTATTATTAATACAAATATATATTTTGTATTATATTTTATTAACGTGTTTAACATTTTTATAGTTTTATTAATAAAAATATTTATATTTTTACGTGTTACTATTTATTTATTATATTTTTTCATATTTATAGTTTATTATTATAAATATTTATATTTTTTTGTACTATTATATATTTATTAACGTGTTTATATTCTTTTATACTTTTATAGTTCAAAGTATTTATATTATTATGCATTATTATATATTTATTAACACTTACTTTTTGTGGTTCCAAAGGGGCAATAAATATTGTTTTTTAGTAGATTAATAAAAACTGGTTAATTATTTTTTTATTATTTTTTTACAAATTATAAGCAATTTTTTTATAATTAAAGATACTCTTTTTTAGTTTATTAGTACTAAAAGTATAAATAAGTTTACACTTTATTATCTTTTTATATATTATTAAGAATTTTTATGAACAACAAAAAATAATCTTTTTTATAATTTATTTATTTTAAAAATATATTATCTTGTTAAGTTTTTATTTATTTTTAAGCAACAAAAAAATTCTTTTCTCATAGGATATTTATATTAATAATAGAGTATATTTTATCCTTTTTATGGATTACTATTTATTTATGAACATAATAATAAAACAATTTTATGTATTCATTATATATATAAATGTATATAAATATACGTATATTATCATTTTCCTCATTTATTTGTCAGACAGTGTATAAATATATCTATATATTATGTATTATTATTTATATACTAAAATATATAATATTTAGTATATTATATGTTGTTTTTTTTAGATTTTTGTATTAAGAGCAGAAGCATTTATTAAATTTATATCTATTATTTACTTCTATAATTCTCTTGTATAATAAAAAGTAAAAATATTATGTAATAATTCAAATTATAGCAAAACCTCCTTTTTTTATTTTTATATTTGAATATATTTATTGTAAACTTTTAATAATATAATATTAATGTAATAAAATAAATAAGTTTGTTTATGGATTATTTATTAAAATGTAATTAATTATTTTTGTTTGGAGAAATTTTTTTTATTAGAATCAAAAACTGATGCAAAATATCGTATTTTATTTTTTATTAATTTTGTAATAATATTTTGAATTTTATGAACATTGAATTGTCATATTTTGTATTACTTTTTATCGTAATAATAATAGAAAAATTACTATTTTTTAAATTATTAAATATTTATATAATTTTGCGATTTTTTACAATTTTATAACCATAATAAAAAAGAACATAATTTTATTATTTTTAATTATTTTAAAAATTTTATCAATATTTGGAAAATTCTTAATTTATTATAATAAAAAAATAATAAAATTTACAGTTTCTTGATGAAAATCTTATAGTTGTTGATATTTTTATATATACTTTTTGGTATTATTATATATATTTATTTATATTTTTAAAAACTTCTAAGTTATTTATCATTTAAGATCTACTTTTATCATTATTATAAAATATATCTTTCATTTCTTTATTTATTTTATATTATCTTTTGGTTTTTAAAACTATTCTTATTTATTTGCCAACAGAAAAGAAAAATTATTATATAATTTTTAATTATTGTATAACTTTTTATAAATATTTAGAAAATTTTATAATTATGTTAATAAATAAATCATCATATTATAATACCTTCTATTTCTGTTATAAAATTTTGGATATTTCTTAATTAATTAAATAAAAAATAATTTATTCAGTTTATTATGAAAATATTGTAATAAATTGAATAATTTTATGTTTATTACATTAAAAAAAGTTTTAAAGATAATTATTGTTAACTTTTTTTATCATGATAAAAATTTAAAACATATTATTTTTTCTAAAATAAAGAAAGTGATAATTAATTCGTATATTTAAAAAAATATTATTTTTATAATTGTTTGGAAGTTTTTATATTATTAAATAATAAACAAATAAATATTATTAAAAATTTTTGTTAAAAAAAAATAAATAATAAAAATATTTGTGACCAATTAAAATTTATATAAGTTTATTTTATATGTGTTTCTAAAAAGCGCATAAAGTGAGAGCCTTCACTATTTTTTGTGCTTTGCAGATCTTTTTATTTTTATTTGATATGTTAACGTAAAATAACACAAACGTTATAGAGGGAAAGTTGATTAGTGGAATCTCTATGGGCTATTTTTTGTCCAATCCAACGTTTGGTAGTAGAGAACTAAATAATATGAAAAAAGTTTTATAAAAAAAAAAGTTATATAAAAATTATGAATGATGGTTGACTGGGAAAAATAATACTGAAAAGAATATTTATTTCGTTTTCTTCTATTACAGAAGTATACATAACTTGCGTTAAAAACTTTTCTCATTTTTCTAAGCACTGCTGCAATGCTTTAAGAACAGTGCGTTAATAAACCAATCGCATTGGTTGACACTTTTATGTCAAGTTGCTGTTATTAAATATAAAACTTTAACTTTTTAATTAAAATACATTTCTTTGTATTGCAAATATATTTTATTGGTCGTGCGTTACGCGTTATTTACCAGCAGAAATAGGCAAATAAAGTCTTGCCCACAATTGTAGTGGTATAATTTTAAAGGGCGTTATTGGGATTTTGTATCCAACAAACTCTTTTGTTAAGATGCATTTTTTTTTTTCAATTTTATTTTTGTCGGGAATAAACAAACTTTTTTTACATATATTATTTATTTCATTAATAATTTTTTACTTTTATTTTTTTAATCAGATCACAGGAATTGGGCTTATTAATACAACAAACTTTTGGGGAGTCTATTTTGACTAATTTGTACCCAAATTCACAAATTGATATCTTCGTACAAATAATACAAGCCGATGGGGTAATAATAATAATGATTGTAATATTCATAAATAATACAATAATTAAGGAATTAAGTGTGCAGCTATTTTTGCGTCTCTCTTGCACTTATTGATGCGGGTCTCGTTATTACTACTTATTTCTCAAAAATTTACAAAACTTAATTAGAAGTTTTATTATAAAATCTGAAAAAAAAATCTAACACATAAAGTGATTTCAAAATATAAACTTCCAAATAGGTGTGCCAATGAAAGATTTTGTTGTATGGTGTGCGGCCGGATTTGTTGAAAACACACCAATTGTCGGTCGTTATTTTTATTTTTAATAACTTTTAATGGTTAACTATTGAAAAGTTTTGTGTTACATTTTTAACGTGATATGTAAAATTTAAGCAGTTTGGGGTTAAGTAACCGATCACCATTTATATTAATTTAAAATTATTAATGTAAAGCATTCAAATCATCCCTTCCTATTGGATCCTAATTGAAATTTCTGACTTTTTGGTCCTTTTTCTTTCCCCTTTCGGGCGTCTTTTATTATTATTTCGTGCATTTATTTTAAAAAGAAATAATTAGTAAATGTATTAAACAAATGATTTTTGTTTTATGTGTACTTTTTAACTAAGTCAATCGCTCATTGGCCGCTTCGAAACTTTTTATCCGATGATTAATATTGTATATATTCATAAACATCGTATTATAATGAACAATAATTAACAAGAAAATAGAAGTGTGCAAATTACCCTCAATAAGGAAAAAGAACTCACCCAAAACTTAAATTGTGAGCTATTATCTTTACTATTACCACAATATTAATTGGATGTATTTTCTACATTATCTTTGATTATGGAATGACCAATAGCGCTTTATTTTTATGTACATCATCTATATATTGTCATTTATTGCGCAGACTTCGTCTTATTCGGCTGTTTTCCATTTTTCGAAAAAAAGTCTTTTACCAATCAGCAATTAGCAGCGATCATTATTTAACGTTTGTATGTCCCATTCGTTTTTAAAACCCCAGTCAACTAAGCGACTTCTGGTAATAAAAACTTTATATATAAGGAAATGAAGTTTTGTTATTTTTATAACGCGTTTCTCTGTGTAACTTTACGACGTTCAACATATTTTACAGGTTTTGTACTGGTTATGCAAAATTTGTGTACATGACCGACTATTTTACAAACTTAAAGAATAGCAGCATTATGCAACTTCTTTCTTTGTCGACTAATGCCTCGTGTGTAAATTTTATAAGCCAATGATATTGAAGAGCGCTGGATTAGCGTTTTCCATTAGTGAACTGCTACCCGTTCCGTTGGATTGTGCGGTAATATCAATTCTTTTTCCTTAATTTTTTTTTGGAAGCCTCAACTTCAAAGACACAAGTTATAAAAATTATTAAATATATTGCATTCGACGGATGAAGTTAACTTTTTCGACTTATTTATGCACTATTATCTCTTATTATTGGTGATTTTTTTAAAAACTCCATTAACTGTTTTTAGTTAAGGATTACAATTTTTTTATTGGCGCATAATTTATCAGTTAGTTATTGGTAAATGTTTTACTAATCTTATTCGAGTGTTAAGTTAGTCTCTTTTATACACGTTACATATTCCATACACTTTTCATATTTTAAATAATTTATAGTTATGTTTATATAAAATTTTTTGTTTTATAAACCTAAATAAGTTATTGATTATTTTTTTATATAATGGTCGCTTCTTAAATAATATATATTTGTAAATGTTTTTATAATTTTCTTAAAAAGTTTTTAAGAGAAAAAGAGGAGAAGTGATTAATATATTGTCCTGTAGTAGGAGGGTATACCTATGCATTTAGGGAAGTAGTACAAAATGTGGGACAGCAATGAAACATGTGCTATAACACGTGGCATGCACATGCATAAATCACCTGCACGGAACATGTAACACCTATGTAGGCGAGAACGCGGTACGACCACGAGTTAAGGACATGTGGTGTAATGCACATGGGAACGTGCTTTATCAGAGTTAACTCCAACTGTTTTATTTACATTTTTTCTTTTTCCTTTAATTTTTAATTTATTTATTGTTATATTTAAAAAACTTTTACGAAAATTTTATACTATTGTTAACTGTTTTTTGTTAACTATTAATTTTCTCAGTAAATATTTTACTTTACTATATACATAATAAGTGAGTGACTAATTATAGTTGCTGTTATGATATTCACTGTTTTATTATTCTTTCATTCTTTTTTATTATTATTATTATATAATTTTATTGTTTCTTATTACTATTTTAAATATTATCATAATTATTGTACTAGTATTAAACTTATTTTAGTTGCTATAATTGTTAATACTTTTTTTTACTATTCATTTAATATATTATTGTATCTTTAAATTCATTTTATTACTAATACCATTCTAGTTACCATGATTACCATTACTATTTATTACTGTATTATTATTATTTAGTTATTACTAATACCATTGTTATTGATTAGATATGAATCATCTCGAACTCACTGTTGACGGTCCTGAGTTAACGCTCGCCGTGCTTCCCAGGTCTCAACAAATTGTTCTCTGCCAGGTTCTATTGGCTATTTTTACTAGAAAGATATACATAACTTTGCTTTACTGTTTATATTATTTATATATTTATATTAATGACACCATTGTCTATTATATTTATTATTATTATCAGAGATGGGATCTCGCTTGCATGCGGACTACATGGATTCGGTTTTACGAGTGGCAATGAAGGGCTGCGAAGATTTCTATTCGGTGCTTTTTTTGGCACAATATACTTAATTGTATCTACTTTCTTCCCTCCTTGTGCCAAAGTCACGTGGCTTTGGCAGTTTCCATTACTTTTTTTTTTTTGGCACAAAATCTTACGGTTGCCAAGTTTTTATATAGTCACTTTTTATTATTATTAATTAACTTCATATAATATATTTATTTTTTATTTTATTTGGTTTTAAGTAAAACTTGATATTAATGAAAAAAATATTTTGTTAATACTACTTTTTATTTAGAATTTTAGTTTTTTTAGCTGAGAAATATTATTATACTTATATTATACCTCTATTATAATTTTTTTATTACTTTTGTTTACTTTTAAAAAAACATTTATTAGTGTTATTATATTAATAATTGCTATTATATATTATTAAATGAATTACTTTTATATAAAACTTTACTTTAAAAAATTTTATTATTAATATAATTATAATTGTTATTTTATTTTGTTATTTGCTTCTTATAACATTATTTATTTAGTAAAAAGCTATTAATATTATTCAAATATCACAAAATATACGTAAAAATTTACTTTAATAATTATAAAGAATATATATAAAAAGTAAAAAAAAACACAGCATGGGAATTCCTGAGTACAATTTTATAATTATTTTTAATTTATTTTTTGCATGAATTTATTAATTACTTATTTTTTATATTGGCTATTAACTTTTTATACTTATTTAATTTATTTTTTCTGGAACATAAAAGTTTATAGAAAATACTTATAAATAATCAATTTTTTATAAATGTTAATAATAAATATTATTAACTTTTTATACTTTAAATGTTTTTAATATAAATTTATTTTTATTATGAGTTTTATAATAATTTTTATTTATTTATTATTAACTTTTATATATTTAATTATGCAATAAATTATTTTATATTAATTAGAAGTAAAAAAAATAGTTTATTATAATTATTTTCTAATGTATATTATATAAATTCTTTACTTTTTAAGTTTTATAATACCAGTATATTTTTAATTATTGTAATAATTCGTATAGAATAGTAATGAAAAAAAAAGTTATGATTATATTATTTGAATGAATTATTATTTTTTAATTTTTTTATATTAATTTCTATTTTATAAGTTTTTGAATATTTATATTATTATTAACTTTAGAAAAAAAAAGGTGGTTATAATCAGAACTATAGATAAGCATATATTTAGTAAAAAAAAGTTAATAATAGTAATGAATTTTATATAATGAGGTTTCATTATATATTTTGATATAAACATTTTTATTTTTTTATATCTAAAAATGTTTATTAAATTTAACTTTTTTTATTTTTTTTTATACAGCATTAATGAATTCAGGAAAGTTTCAATATTTACTTCTTATTTTAATATTTATATTTTTTTGTCGATGTTCTAATATATGTTATTTTTTAAAAAAATATATATATTTTTACTTTACATTAAAATTTTTATTTTAGATTAAGTCTTCTTTATTATATTTTATTTATAAATATATTGAAAAACATTATGAAACTCATATTTTATTGTTATTTATTTTTTTTATAGTTTTTATATTGTCCTACACACTTTTCTAATTATATACTATTATTTGATATTTATGTAGTTTATTATATTTTTTAACGTTTATAGTAATATATATAATATATTTGAAACATATTTTATTACTTTTAATAAAAATGTATAATAATAAAATAAAATAACTTTTATATTAGATAAAACTATAAATACGACTTTTAATAAACTATTATAAATCAACACTAAAATAAAAATTATGTATTAATTTTGTTTTTAAGGACTTTTTAATATGTTACAAAAGTTTTATTATAATAAAACTTCTGAGTACAACTTAATATAAAAAAGTTTACAAATAATTTTTTTATCTTTTTTATTATTGTAAAAGTAGTTTTTCAAAAGTATATAGAAACTCTAGTTATTATATTTATAAAATTCAGATTTTGAATTATTTATATGTTCTTTATTTATATTTTTATATAATATACTTTTATGTAGATTTATATTATGAAAATTTGTCATTTTTATATCGAAGCAAAAACTTGTTTAGTAATTTTGCTAAATTATATTTTTTTTATTAAAGAATAGAAAAAAACTCGGTTAATGAATTTTTAGAAAGGCACCAAATTAATATTATTTTTTTTGTGAAGAATAGGAAAAAACTCGTTTCGTAAATTTTAGAATTTCACTAATTGACTTTTTTAATTTTTTTAAAATTTTAATTTTTAAAAAGCTTCTCTATAAATTTATAATAACTTTTATAGGAGCTTATTATTGTTTTTTATATATAATATTTATTTTAGTTAATATTCATCAGAACTTCTTTCATAAAAGAACTTTTAAATAAAAAATAGCTTATGACTCAAAAGTTTTTGACAGATCTATTCGATTTCTAACTGAATTATCCATTTTATAAATTTTTTTTAGATTTATGAATTCAACTTTTTTATTTAATAATAAAGTCGTATCTTTAAAATTTATAAATTTTTAAAGATGCGTTTTACAAAAAAGTTTTAATCTGGATTTTTTTTTAATTTTTTTATAAAGGAAGTTAAAAATTAATATTTTTCAAGTTTACCTTTGGAAATTATAATTATACTAAAAATAATATGATAATATCTTTAGAAGCTAAATAATGTTAGGCTCTTAAAAAATATATTTATATTATTATAATACACAACTTATTACTTATTAAAAGAAATTAGATTTCTAAAAAATCCCATAAAATGCTTATTTACATCGTTTATAAAATAATAAAATTTATATTTAATTAATAACTTTTTTTTAAATTTATGTATTTTTAATTATTTTTAAAGAAACTTGAATTTAAATATATTTGTTTAAAATAAACTTACAAAATAGGTAAACTTGAATTTATAAAATTTTTAAATTTTATTTACTTTAATTCTATAGAATCCACGACTCATTTTATTTTTTTTTTTTTTAATATAATGATTTTGTTTTTCTAAATTCTAATTTTTATTAAAAAATATAATTTTCAGAAGTTAAAATTTCTAATAGCTTATTTACTTTAAGTTTTGTAAAATTATAATTATTTTTAATTTTTTTAAAAAAAAAGATTTTAAATTTATATTAATTAAATTATTTTTAGAAAACATTTAAAATTTTTAACAGATGACCTAATTTTTATTATTTTTAATTCAATAATGCAAAATTACTGTATTGCTCTTTATTAAGATTTTTTAATAATAAATAGTTATTTATTTGCGCAGCTTTTGAAGGAGCTCGTTAGAAATCGAACTGAATTTTTAGCTCAGACTATTTGCTCGTGAATAATCCTACAATAAAAATAAATTTTTTTAAATGATTTTATTTATCGTACACTTTTGTTTGGAATAAAAGAATGCAATATTTTTTTAAGAATTGCTCTTAAAATTTTACATTATACATTATAAAGACTTCTGTTATTCGTGAGTTTTTAAGTAAAAATTCCAAGTAATTTAGTTAATAAAGAAAAGAAAACTTTTTTAAGAAGACTGCAATTTTTTGTAAAGTATGATTCTCCTCTATATTTTGCATTTTGTAATTTTAAAAAATATATTGAAAAAAAAAAACCTTTTTATATTTTTACACAAGGAATTTTACAAGAAGAAAGGAATCAAACAAAAAATTTAGTTACTTATTAACTTCTATTTTGCTGTATTATTTATCTTTTCGCAGAATATTTGTAGGAGACTCGGTACCAGAAATTCTCCTCGGATACTTATAATAGTCGAGTAATTAAGTTGAGCGCAAGTAAAAGTAATTTAAACAAAATCCGGTTTTTATTGTGAAGTATAAAATAATTCAGTCCAAAAGGGAATTTTATCGTGCATGTGCTGATTACGTTAACCGCAGGTAGATGGAGGGGGGGCGGAATTCTGTTTTTCTTTCCAAAGCTTTGGGAAAATCACCCAATGTATATTGTTTTTACACATTAATAAAGTACGAGTAAAAATGAATAAATATTTAAAATTTTGTTTTTAATGCAAAGCAATATGTAAATTATCGAATGAATTTTGACTCTAGTTTAAATAAGTATTAATAAAAGTGAATAAAGAAAAAAATTCTGTTTTTATTGCGAAGCTTAAAGTAATCCAGCGATAGCTTAGAGTAATTAATCGATTGAGGGAAAACTATTTTTGAAGCGAGTATAACCAAATAGCCCGCATATAGTATAAAACTTCCCTATGGTATATGTTAGAAAAAACTACAAAATGTATTTTTTAACATATAGAATGGAAAGTTTGTAGTTTTCTTTGTAACAAAAGTTTGTTTAGCACAATAATGTTTTTAGTATTTTCTATAGCGTACAAATGTTAACCTGCATATACAGTGTATGATTTTGTTTTTTTATTACTCTTTTTGTCCCTATATATAAAAATTTTTTAAAGTTTCAAAAAAGTTATCAAGGTCTTGCTTCCTGATTAAGATTTTAATTGTTGTTCATATTATTAGTCTTTGTTAAACTCTAACTATTATCATCATTGTTAGAGGCAGAACAATGAGCGCGAAAATTGGATAACAAAAATATTTGAGTGCTCCTTAAAAACTAATCAGAGCTATACCAATTAATTAGTTAGTTTGGCTTCAACTTTTTAAGTAACTTAATTTTTTTTTTTTTATATTTGAACATAATAAATTAGGTTAATAAAAGGCAATGTAATAATATTAACTAAAAAAGTATACATCAGTCTCTCCTAAACCAAGTGTTTACGAAAAAATTGTTTTACAATCCTTCGAATTACTATATAAAACTAGCCCTTTATTAGTTTACCTGACTCCAACATTTCAAATAAATTTAAATATTTAATTCTATTTTTTGTACACACTCTATTATATAGATACAGTATCTATTTTAATTTCAGAAGCATGTTATGATGTTAGCTTTATAATAAACTTTTATCGGTAAGCAAAAAAATTCTTTTTATAAAACAATATCTTCAAAAAAATTTTGTACAACCGACGAAATAATATAAAAACTAAAATGAGAGCGACGTTTTTAAATTAAAGGTTTCTACTTTTCAATAGATCCTATTTTATAATTAGATACATACTATATTGAACAAAGCAAAGGTCATGTAATAACACTAGCTTTAAAGCATACAGTTATTTTTAAGTTAAAAAAAAAATTCGAACAAAAACATATAAGTTGTATCACAATTCGATCAATTACTATAAAATGGGGGTCACCGCAGACATCGAGATATTTTTTAAGGGAAAGGACAACCGCAAGGAAGTTGGCGTAGAGAAAATGAACAAGTAATGAGTTGCTTCACGATCGTCAAGGATATCTAAATAGGCTTGATTATTACGGGGATTTTAATCGCTTTCACTTCCTTGCTTTTCAAAAAGGTTTTTCTTTTTTATTTTGAAACTACTTTGCTTAACCTTGACAATATCAGCGGCTTTATACTTTTTTACGTAGAAGACGTAACCCCTTTCATCCTATAGCTAGTAAGTTATAACTATTATATAAGTATTTTAAAGTAGATGACATGATATCACGTAAGATTTAATATTTTCGTTTATTCGTAAAGTATAATTATAGCATTTTTTATATATATAAAAGAATTTAGATTCCATCGTTTTTAACGTCTACGATAAAAACATATTTTTTTAATATATTTATAAGTTACGATTACAGTTGAGAAATTGCTTCAAATCAGCGAATTACGTGATCTAGAAAAGTGTGCTTTCCTTTATATAAATGAAAGAGTAAAAAAACCTCAAAAAGCTGAAACTAATTTAATTATTTTAACTTTAGGTGAGACCTCTGAGCTAAGTTTTTCTGATTATCCAAGCCAGGAAGAAGCGGATAGGGATCTTAATAGGTACATAACGGGAAAGAGCTTGTTTATAATGACCAAAGCTCCCCCCACTTTGAATCCAGTAACTTCTAAAGAGCAACGAAGAAGCTCTTTACAAATATTTATCCGGTTTAGAAACACCAGAAAAAGAAACTCAAATAGAGCGTATTCTAAAAATATTAGCGTTACTCCATTTTTAGATATTGTACTTAAGCTTGCATTAAAGCACAATATTGATCCAACTTTATTCCAACCCAAATTTGTCTTAATAGCTTCTAAGAATCATATTCGTATATTTACGTATGCATTTATCGGTGGACCGGTATGTGGCCCCGTTTTAAATAAATATACGCTGTTTTGCTTGCGCCTGAAGACTTATGCGTACGACCATAAAGTGCACTCTGTAGAAAAAGAGGTAAAAAAAGATAGCCCGGGAAATAATAAAATTACATATTTCATAAGTTATGAAATTTTCGGCACTTCGGAGGCCTCCATGGCTGCCCTACATGGAAAGGATCATAGTGCGATCCAAGCTGAACTTTATTCTAAATAACAATGTGGGCATTATAAAATGTCTAAAGAGAGACTTGATTTCCACTTTCTTTTTTTAACTTTTCTTTTGCTCTAATATAAAAAGATATTAAAAAGCAGTTATAGTTTTTCACTGGTTTTGATAAGCATTCTTTCCTTTCTGATATAAGTTAAGCCCTTAATAAATTTAAAGGTTTTGCACCTGTTTTATTTAAACTTCTGAAGCACTTAGTTTTAACTCTAGTAAATATACGCAGTATATTTATTGCTGAAAATTAAGTTAATTCTTTCGTAACCAATTTTTTTAATACGCTAATGCTTAAAACTGCTGGTGAAAAAGGGTAAATTATAACAAAATTAATTTGTTCTGGCTATTAAACTCACTAAGTTATGTTGACTCGCTCTTTCTTTACGTTTGAAATTTGCTTTTATTTTAAGGCGGCAGAACATAGTAAGTGCTATTATAATATTGTTCGCTCATTTTGTATATTACCAATTTTACATACCACCGTGTTAGGTTACACCTTGCAGCCAACATGGCAAATGCATAGCTTTTTGGCACCTTCTCCAATACACTAAATATTTATAGTATTTGGGGTAGTGTTTTGAAAACAAGAATTTAACTAGCCATTATTTATGCCAGTATTCTTACACTTGAGGCTTTAACTAAGGGTCTCTGATTAATTTATTAGTTAAATGATATTCTAAGCCCCTTGACTTTTAACTCGTTGCTCAATACAATAACCGGCTATTAAAAGAATGTCAACTAGAACAAAATTGAAAACAAAAGATCAATTAAAAAATCGAAGACTTTGCATTTAACACTTAAACATCAATTTATTCGAAATGAAAATTGAAGTTATATGGAATCACTGGGCACAGGTTCAACAAATTTTCCTACAAGTTATTATAATAACTAAAAAATCAGAAAAAATAAATAAATTGTAACCTGGACGTGAAACCTTCTTACCCTTAAAAATAGATGAAGTAGTTTCCCCGTGCAAATCAAAAAATCTGCCCGCGTCATACTTTGGTTTCTTTAAAACTTTAACTTTTCTTATATAAACGTCTTTTAGAGGATAAATCCCTTGCGCCAGCTTGGTTATATCGCCACAAATATCACCAGTGATCAACTTATTCCATAGTTCCTTAAAATCGGTGATAGTCGCCTCTTTAGCCATTTGCTCCATCATAATTTTCCGAATAGCCCGAACTTGAGAGGTTTGAGCGTAAGAGGTCTTTTTTTGCTGATCCTTAGCCTTCTTGGTGAACCCAATGCAAAACATCCTCAGATAATAGTTGTCGGTAGTCTTTACATCAACGTGGGCTTCTATCAAAGTCTGCCATTTTTTAACAAGTGAGCGAAGCTTGTCTGTAGTTAAGTTCATTCCATGATAGTTAAGAAGACAAGTACTTCCTTGAACTTCCTCGCAGATCAGCTTAATTTTTCTATAAGATAAGTCCTCATTATTCTGTAAGTCTGCAAGACAAACTTCGTAAACACGTCCTTTAAGATCATCAGAGGCAATACCTTCCAATAAACATATTATATTAAAAACAAAAAAAAAAACAATAAAAAGAATACGTTTTCCTTGAGATTTTGTTACGAGTGTTTTACCCACAAATCTGTTAGAAAAAAGAGTGGGCGCCCTAATATTATACCACTCTTTGTGGAGAAACGGATCAAACCTAGATGTGTGTAAAATTTTACTCAATATTATAAAGATTGTTAAAAAGCTATACAAATTTAAAAGGTAAAGTAAAAAAAAAGGTCAAAAATCTTAGAATTTGAGGGGTTAATACAATTCTGAAGAAAGTAAAATTCAAAATAATGTAGATAATTGGGAAAATAAGGTAAAAAGTTAAATAATCGCATTACGTCTTTTTTCCTTTTCCCTTTTTCCCTAACTTTTTATTTTTCCCAACGACCATAACGCAGAAGGAGAAGAAAAGACTTAAAACAACTCAAACCTTAAAACCAGTTTTTGAAGCATACCTTATACCTAATGAACACACATGTTAAGTACTAAACCCCCATGTCGCTTAATTATTATATTAGTGGCCCACTAAACTAAATTTGCAAAAGAGAGTTAATATAATATAAGCCTTTTGTGTGAATAACTTCCATAACTGTTGACTATATAGAGCTTATATGTGAAAAGCAAAACTTAAGATAAGTTAAGTAAAAATTTTAAATTAAAAAACAATGGGAATATTTTTTTTACTGTATTCACGAGGGCAAAATGTTCTTTTTTTATTTTATGGTTTTCTAGTGGTAGGTGTGGTACTCCCAAGGAGATTTTTACTTATGATATAAACTTTTAACTTGCTAAATTTAAAATCATATAGCCTAAAACATCTTCTATACCCTATTACATTATTTTTTATTATTATAAATCAGTTTTCCGGATTTAAGACCTGTAAAAGTCAGCAGATTAGATGCGTAAAGCCAATCATACCGTGTCTACTTTAGGTTTTGGGTCGATTTCCACAGAAGCGACTCTTTTTTTTTTGGTTTTCAATGGCTGCATACGTAACCTGTGAAAATTAACATTTGAGAAAACCGTCGACTAAGTTTTAAAATATAGACCTGCTGCCTTTACAACATGCTAAAGTCATAATCACCTCTGCGATCGCTGACAGTAGGAATTTCTCCTCTCGCCTCCACTATTCGGAACCTATGAGGGCAACGTGCCCTTGCCAGCCAAACCTTACATGCCTGTCGCCATATACGTTGACGCTACAACGAGTTACTCATCGTCGAAGTCGCCAGACCTATGGTAACAAAATTCTGCTGCGCTCTCCTGGCCCCTTGACAACGGGTGCCGTATATGGTAAGTTGCTATAAATTTGGGGGACAGAGAGAAGCGTTCCATGGTTGGCACCCTTTACCTTCTGTAACAACGAATAGAAAACCCCTACCATACCAGCTCCGCCACTTAACCACGGTGTAATAGTGATTGAAAGCGAAGAGGATAAGTTGGCAATCTCCGCCAGCCACTACAGCTCAATGCGAACCTCTAACCTGAGCTACCTATTGGGGTGAAGGCAAGAGCTCATGAACCTTCAACCGTTGGCGACGGACTTTTTAAACCGAGCACAGCTGATGAAGTCCCACTGCATTTACGCGTCAGAAGGTAATTGACCCCAATGGCATAACTAATGAAATTTGAGAAAGTGCCGCCTATAGCGATTATTCACCTTTTCTGTTTTGCAATTTCTGCAATGTGGCGATAGTTGTGCTGCTACCCAAGATTCTTTTAAATAAAAACACATATACGTAAAATAGAAGTACAGCACAGAATTAATAATCTAAATGTAAACCAATTATCGACATCATAAACTTAACAGTCTCTAAACCATTTTTAGGAAGGAGTTAAATTAATAAAATATTATTATGACAAATGGTAATTATCGACCTCGACATATCTTCTAAATGAAACCGAATTAAATATGTTTAACCAAAGAATTTTGAATTTAATTTTAACAAACATAAAAAAAATGAAATTGCTTTTTTAATCTATTTTAAGGATTTATATAAATGGTTTGGTTACCTATAATAACATAATTCCGTTCCTCTTGTTCTCACCCTCCTCGTCATTGGAATTATGAAACTCTGCGTGCATCACTAGGTCCTCGCAGCTATCGCCCCATTAGCCTAAGTTCAGCAGCTGGCAAAACTGTGTAGGATGTTTTTACTCCGCCGAACGAGGGTTGTAGAAACAAAAGTAGTGCTACCGGAATGTCATATGAATTTCGATAAAGGAACTCGACTACACAACAACCTTTTTTTTTGGCTTTGTTGATTGGACAACTTGAATCTCAAACATTGGAAAAGCCTTTGTCCGCGTAGGGCACGACTTCCTATAAAAGTATACGCGGTGTACCCCGTTGGACTCTGAAAGCTTTTATCGTCGTTTCCATATGGGCGGGCCTTCCAGTGAGAATGGGCCTCCTACCAACATCTAATGTTCCGCAAGTCTCATTGCTCTCCTCCCTGCTCTTCGCACTCGACATGCAAAAAATTCCTTCCTCTAAAAACCCCCCCACGCCCGCGACCCACTTACGCCGATGACACCGCAGTTTACGCGTCCTTAGTCCCTCAATATTACGGCGACATACCTATAACGTTATTTAGAAACACTTGCCAACTGGTGTCGGCAGTGGGAAGAAACTTTCCTTGTAGAAGAAAACATAGCAGTTCTTATTTTAAGATGCACTGCGCTACCCTTTAGAGTATGAAGATCCTATGGAATTCCCAGGCCGAATAACACGACTAACTTGGCAGCAACGCGGCTAAGGTCGAAGCTTGCGACCCACGCGATCTACCCGCTTCTGCACGCAATAAGAATAATGTATCTGCGCAATTAACTAAAGTGCGCTTGCGCCTTCTAATGGTCTCTACGCATTTGTTTCTTGACCGTACAATAAACTGTCGACGAATATAATATGCGTACGCAATAAAATAAGTTTCTGCGACTAATGACAGTAAGCAATGACACGTTGCACGAGCACGTGAAGCTGGAAAACTTCAAAATTTCGATCGAACAACTAAAAAAACAAAATTGTGATTTAATTTAAGAGAACAAAGTAACAATAATCTAAAATCACAAATTACAATAGGTGGAGGTATTAAAATAAAGGTGTGCGCGCGTGTGTGCGTGTATTGAGGGGGGGGGGGCTCTGTTTTTTCCGCACCTCCCAGACCCGTTTAAACATTTCAGATTTGAACACATTGGCTCTCAAAGCCTCAATAGATTCTTTTAGCATACAATTTTTTAATGATGAGAGTTGCGAGCTCTGCTTAAAGAGTAAAATGCATGGGCAGAAAGTAAGTGAAAGGAGTGAAACTCACAACCAAATGTTGTTAGGCAGCCAGAATATGTTGGAATACTATCTGCGAAGAATAAAGAAGAAATTAAACAACTTATAATTCGCTAGACTAAGCAACACAACAAACTTATTAGCAGAGTCATACCTACTGCCCTCCTCGAGAAAGTACGCAACG